CGACCGTCACTTCCCCTTTTTTGATCCTGTCGGTGACAAAGAAATACCGGATGTTGATGTGCTTAGTCCGCTTGGTGCTGGAGCGTTGGCCGTTCCTTTCCAGCTTTATCGCACTCTTGTTGTCTTGGTAAATCACATTATTCGCTCCGAGGCTTGTGCCGGTGGTTGGTTGGTCATCCCTACAATCCGCAATGTTGTCGGTCATGTGCTGTTGTTGGGCCTGTAGGAAATACCTTGTCCACAGTATGAAGGTCATGTTGTCGTCTACTCCCACCACCTCAGCTTCTGTTGAGCTCTTGGTGTTCAGCTTTTGCTTGGTACATGTTGTGGTCGCCGCTCCAGTGCCGAAAGTCATTACTCCTCCTGAGTGACTTCGCATGTCGTTGTGTACGGCGAACGCTGCATCAACATGCCAATATACATTCCCAGTGCCATCCCACCCCAGAACAAGAGGTATATAGGGCGTCCCGGCCAGATAGCTCATCACGCGCCGCAGTTTCTTCCAGTCATCCTTGTCAGGTGCGGACACCCGGGTACATAGGAAAGCAACGGCAGTTTGTATATCTGGCCGTGATCTTTTTGCCATGAACAGCAACTTAGCCACATAGTGGTGGAACTTGTCCGCGTCCGCTTGGCTCAGTTTTGGTGATTCATCATTCACCTTAAAGAGGTGGTCCCCCGCGGGTGTTACTGCTGTCCCTCTCAGGCTGTCGGGTAAGTTCTGGATTATCTCCTCAAGGTAGTCAAACATGCTGAACTTGACTTTTCCCTCCTCCGAGTAATCAATGGTCATCCCCACATAATCATGTATCTTGCCCCGTGTCTCCGTTAGTGGTGATTCCTTACCAAATTGTTCATTTAGCTGCTGTATAACCATGCTGACTACGGTCGAGTCGGCGTGTGAGATCTTGAGGTCATCAACATGCCACACGATGGTGCACTGCTTCCCATTGATCATCTTGTTCACTGTGCATGGATCATATGGGTTGAGCTCAAATCCCCACTCCTCAAGCTGTCCGTATAGCTTCTCCCAGAACAGTAACGCCGCTCGCAGCGTCCCATATATAGCCTTCTCAGCCTTGGTGAACAGGGTCTTCTTCCCATTCCTGTTGACCAGGTACTTCCTGTACATCTTCGGGTCTACCCTACAGAGCAATTCAGCCATGGTCCCATCAAGCCTAATATACACATCCTCACCCTCTGGCATGGGTGTTTGCAAAAAGGCTCCTGGGATATCTACGGTGGCCACGTCTCTACCTTCAATGGCATTGATAACACACGACAGCACCAAAGCATACAGTGACACGGTTGGCGATGCAGCATCCTCTTTCCGGATGTATTCGCGCTGTCTCCTTCCATCAGCACATCCCCTCCCTTTGATCGATGTATCCCTCTTCCTCTTTAGGAACATGAGATAGGGGAGGGCTTGTGCAACCATTTCTCTGGTCATGTGTTTTGGGTCTAGAGCGGACACCACTCCTCTGTCATGCAACTGTTTCAGTTCCTTTAGTACTGCTTCCACTCCTTCTGTCCCGAAGCGTCGGATGCCTTCTTTCACCCCATATTGCTTGGTTGCATGTGTGGCTTCAAGATTGTTGTAGTTTGCAATCGCATTCGCTACCAGCATCACACTTGCATGTTGTTTGGCAAGCTGCTGCACTCCCTGGATGTATCCTGCAGTGAAAAAAGATCTGGCACGAGTGGTGCTCTTGAAACCATCTCGCTCTGTGAACTTGTTGTGCGACTTGGTTACTCTCTCCCGGAGCCGTGAGCTGATTGGCTCTATTGTTTCCTCCATTGCATGGTCAGACTCATTTCCTTCCACTTCTTCCACTGGTGGCTCTGTATCCTCGCTGGCACCAATCTCCGCATCGGCTGTCTGTCCTTCTGTGGCTGGTTCTTGATTATCTTCATCCTCTTCCATCATGTCTGGGTCATTGTTGATATCATCGGACTCATCCCGCACATCAGCGTCCACGTAGCCACTCAGTTCTGTCTCCACTGATGCACTGTCCTCAGGACTGTATGATGCATCTGATGCATCATCATCATCCATGTTTGGACTGTCATCCAGGTCCAGGATGGTTGTGTTTCCACCGGCATCCCCAAAGTAGATCCCTGTTGGCATCTGCTGTCCCTCAGCAATCCTTGCTACTTGTTGTACGATTGCCTTTGTCAGGGGTGTTGCCGTAGCAGACTTACGGTGGATCCTCTTACAGCTGTTGATATCGAAAGCATAGAATCCACCGGTGGTGGATCCAGTCGGTCTCAGGTATAGTGCGTCCACAGCCCGTGGTTTCATTGTGTTATCAGTATCATCAACATGAGCCAAGATTGGCTCAATGAACTGGAATTTGCAGTCCTCACTCGCATTCAGGCACACTCCTGTCATAAGTTCCCTAACTGACTTGGTCTTGTGTACTCCCACCGTCCGACAGTTCAGCCAGTATGTGGCTGCATATATTAGCTCAATTAGACAGCGCTTTGGGAGCTTCTTGAATGGTAAGTGATTCACATAACATCGAACATTCTCTTTCAGTGTCCGATTACTCCGTTCGATGGTGGGCTCGTGCTGTCCTGCTGCCACACAGCGCATTTCCACTGGTGGTGATAGTCTTAGCAAATCATCACGTAAGCATTGAAACTGATTGTCCCCACTTACTTGTGTTACGGTAAACCCCCTACTTTTGTATTGCCCAATCAGGCTCTCCACACAGTGTAGTAGTGTGCTCTGCTTGACGTTTGTTACTGCTCGGCTGGTTCGAAACCGGAGGTGTCTGGAGATTGAGTGGAAAAACTGTATCCCATTCACTGTCATGATATCCACGTGGATCATCACCTTGCCATATCTGTCAAGCACCTCCGCTGGTACGGGCGACACGTCCTCCCTTATGTGCTTTCCTTGCTGGCGCACTGATTTGCCTTTCACAATGCTGGTGTGCTTCCCATATATCACCTCGGCATTCAATATGTCCCGGCGTGTGACTCCACAGTTGGTTACCAGTTTGTTTTCAACCATGTATATCAAATCCTTGGTCGTTGGGAAACCCATGGTTTCCTGCAGTTTCCTGGCTTTAATTGCCCGTCTGCAGTCTAGATCTGAGAACTCACTCTGTCTGCCTTCCACTGATGTTATTGTTAAGACTGTCCCACTGGCCTGTGCCATGTCACAGTAGTATAGGTTGCACTTGGATCTTTTGAAACGCCTTGCTCCCCCACCAGGCCTGTGTACATACAGTGCGTTGTCACAGTCTGTATCCATGGTTACTCGGAATCGGTCTGATACCAGGGCAAGTGATAGGACGTTGGCTATTCCTCCGTCATAGTACCAAACTTTCCCAAAACCAGGCAGCTCTCCTATCATGTTGGTCTTGGCAATCCCTGAATTGCAGTATATATGCATCGTTTGCCCATTTGGTGCTACTCTGATGTTTTCTAGTAAGTCTGGGTTCACGATCAGGTTACACGATGATTCACTGTCCAACAGGATCCAGTTTGGATTCACTCCTCCCTCACTATGGCTTTCCTGCTGTGCGAACAGGCGTTCCACTCTGTCACTGTATTGGAACATGCCAGTAACACTTTTGTCCTTATTCTCCCCACTCCTCAAGCCTAGCAAGTTGGTGCTCTTGTCATCCTTGCCCGGTGTACTCAGCACTCCTCTTTGGAAAAAACAGGTCTCTTCTAAATCCCCAAAGTCCTCGTCACATTCCACTGCTCGCATCAACAGTTGGTGGCTGGTCAGTTGGATCTCATCCTTCTCAGCTTCATCAGTAACGTCATCTTCAGCTGTTGTAACTGTCCTGGCTGTAACGAACGTTGTTGCCTCGTAGTGGGCCCTTCCTGCTGGTCTTCCGCTGGACTTGCTGTTTTTGCTGCCTGCTGTGTTCCTTTTGCTGCTTCCTTCAAAGTGATTGAGCATGTCCAGTGCCTCTGTGGTGTCTGATGGATATGTGTTTGTTCCCAGACTGTACTGGTTCTCCAATGTCTCCTTGAGTATGCTGTTATCCTCATTGCTCCCTTCAATCACCAATGTCACTAATATTTGCTGTATTGCTGATCGATCGATGCTCTTCTTTTTGCTGTCATTTTCATCCAGCTGCTTATACTCTTTGTACGAGAGTCCGTTGTGTACATCACTGTTGGTTGCCAGTTCATACTTTATGGCGACTGGACACAGTAGGTCCCCCCCAATAGCCTCCAGTACATCACATTGTTGTGTGATTGTATCTACGTAATCCACACTGTCGGTTGCCCGCTGGCGAGAGCATATTAGCTTCCGCATTGCTCTGATGATGTTAGTCAGTGGATGGATCTTTGCTCTGTTTCCTTGGTAGTATATGTCCCGTAGTAGAGTGAGTAGGCCGACCGGGCACTTCATTCGATTGATCTCCTTCCACTTGTTGCATCCTCGGAGCCGTTCCTTCATTCCCTTGTCAACTTGTCCAAGTGCAATGGCATACACTTTTTCCATGTCAGAGGTGTATAGGTTGAAGTTCTTCACTCCAACCCGTACCTCCTCATCATATATTCTCATGAAAGCAGCCTTGGCGATTTCCACTTCCTTCCCATCTCTTGTCCAGTCTGCTGGGTCTGGTTCAGATGGCATGAAATATAGTTTCGTGAATCTTTCAAGCAGTTCAATTGAGGTCCCCACCTTCGGCATGTACTTTGATCCTCCCAGTGTTTGCAAACGTTTGTGCAGCTCTGTGAACTGTGTGACATTCCCATTTGCTGTGAGGACTATCCCGTCGAGGTTTCCTCCGTTGTGTCCCGTGAATTTCTTCATGGTACTGCTTGATTCAGTATTCTTTCTTAGTGTTGAGTTTTGTGTTGTTTGTGTTCTTTGCTTGGGTCTGTTCTTTTGATCAGCCCATCCACTGTCTCGTGTTGAGGATGTCCCCTCAAACTTCACCGGTTGCTTATCGGTGTTACCACCGGAGGCGATCTTCTTATCGTCTCTGGTGGCTTCCATCTTGGGCGACTTGTCGTCCGTTCGTGAGCTCTCCTTGGATCGCTCTGTGCTTCAGGCCCCCTTGGGTTCCTATCCTGCGGTAACAGTTGGTTCTTTTAACTGTATTGCAGTGTGAATATTGTTATACTTTTCAATTTATGTTGATTCGACGTGTACGATGACGTATGCCTATGTCATTGAGGACGCGAAACCTTAAAGAGAAAGGTATCAAATGTGTAAATTCTTCCCTATTGGTTAGATAAATTGAAAAGTATGGGATGGTATCAGAAAACCCTTAGGATCTCTGATGTATCTCAGTACTTTTGATCTGGGTTTTTTACCCCTTTCACATGTATTCATAAATTCATAAATTCTTTTGTATCGGTGGACGTGCGCGCGAACGTCTGTCCCTCAACAGAAGAACTATCGAATAGTACAATTATGTAAGGAAAATCATCATAGTGGGTAGTAGTAGTCAAGTGTACGTCATTTGATTAATAGTATATTATGTGCATGTGACACTGGTTGTTGATTGTGTGAATGTTTGGTGTCAACCTCTCGTGTCGGGGTATATATTTGTCTGCTCGTTCGATCGTTTTCCTGATGATAGTTATATTTAGTTTCGTGTGTTTTCGATCTCCCTTGTTTTCTTGATTTTGTAGTCCATGACTTTCTCCCATTTCCTTCGGACCAGCCGGTAGAGGTCCATGGCCGCCGCAGCGTCTTCATACGCGCTGTGGGGTTCCCCATCTCTCTGGATTTTTCGCTCAAGTTTCTCAAGCGCGAGTTCCTTGAGCTTGCGGGGCCACAATATGTTGTCCTCGAACCTCGTCTGCATAAAAGGCTCATACTTGGCCGTATCACGGGTTGCCATCCAGTGGTGTGTGAGCCCGAGCGCCCTCATGTCGTTCTTGAGGGCGTGTCCCACTAGAATTTTGTCGGCAATCATGCTTTGGACTTCCAGGCGGCATTCCTCGAGCGTGAGGGTCGCGTCCTCTACGTCAAGGGGTGTAATTCCGCTGACAAAGGTTCGGTAGTCCGTGACTTCTTCCTCCTGGCGAACGAACTCGTCGTATACGATGCGACCGTCCCAGTCAACGAGTGTCACTCGGGCCACAGACGATCGCTTGCCCCCGAAACCGACACCGACCATTTCGCAGTCCATTGCCAGGTACCTCGATTGCTCTTCTGGGGACACCTCGTGGTCGGCATTGTTGTTCTTGTTTTGCTTTTGTTGTTTCTTTGATTTGTTTTTCTGGTTGTTCCTTCTTCGTTGCTTTTGTGTTTGCTGTTGGGGGCTTTGTGGAGTGGCTGTAGACATGTCATCGCTGGAGAGTGACGCTGTGGCGCAGGTCGAGTCGTCGCACGACAATGACTTCTCACAGCCCTCTACCGGAGTCGCCGAAGACATCTTGCTTCGGGGTCGTCGACGTCTGCGTCGTCGTCGTCTCTTTTGCTCCGTTTCGGTCTCGGGTCCTCCGATTTCAATCATCTTTAAGATTCGAATCAAAAAAAATATGAAAGAAATTAGATGATGTGAGAAAAAAATGACATCCCAAAAATGCGAACAGGCAATCAGAACCGTCCAATCACGGTGAAAACCGATATTCCGATGTCGATGATGTTGGTAACGTACCTTGATTTGAGGCGCATCGTTCGTAACGATTGTCTCTACTGGTGAGTTAATAATAGTTGGCATCATTGTAAATAGTCAAGTCTGTGTGGCTTGCTGTGTTTAGGTTTGGTGATTGTGTCGTCCTTGGTTCTTTGAGGTTGGTTGGAAGTTTGTTTTATGTTCCCACCAGTGCAAATTCGAAAATGCGATGGTTTGGTTGGCAGAAACAATGCCCAGGGCGAAAGAGAAGGAGCGCTGATCGGCAACGTTATGTGCGCTGACTACCAAGTTTAACACCGCATTAAAATTTATCCAGTCTGGCAGACTTTCTCGACCAAATGACTTGGTATCTAACGACTACGAACGAGGACAGATCGTGATTGGACTACCTGACAGCGAAGTTCTCATTTGTGTTCCGTGGTTGTCACGGCATGCCGAGCGTTCTTTTCTCACAAGTGACTCAAACGTGTCTTACAATGTCATCAATTTTTTGCGTGAGTCACATTTTATGCGCACGACGCACGCAAAAAATTCCCGTTTACGACCACATCAGAAATGTTCGGCAACCGAAACCACAGGTTTGTTTTCGGCCACTTGCATTTTCAAAACACGACACAGAATCGCTATTCCTGCCAACGCACAAATTGCTCTTTTTGTATTCTTCTTGATGATTCATTCTACGACTACTTAAGAGGATCGGGCTTTCCAAATAGCTAAGCTACCCAAGCTCTTGTCCTTCAACGTCGTGCATTGCCTACGATTGCTCCTAGTCAGCTGCATCCGCACCGGCAAGTCGGTGGTGGTTCTTCGCGGATTGAAAATAATAAGCAACGCCGATGCCTCAGGTTTTGATTAGCTGTCGTCGGTTAGCCTCAGTTACTTATTGTCCGTGATAAGATTTGTCTTCTGCGTCAATCGAACGAATACCGTAGAAAAGAGCTCGTTGCTTCTGCTTCGTCAAATCTTGAGCTGTGACAAAAAAGGACCACAAGGTACGGTTACGTACTTATCTCAGGATCCAACGATTGGGTTCGACGCATTGAGCATCAGTCGTGCTGAATCAACCCATTCATCCTTCCATCCACCCACCCATCATCTGCGCTTTATCGGGCTCTAAGATGCTAGTCGCGTGCTGGTCGTTTCTGTTTTTGATCACCGGTCATGGAGCATCAGCTCTGGCACCGAGTACCGGCCACCGGGTTCGAACTACGAGGACAGAAGGCCGCCTCAGCGCGATACCAACCATCGATGGTCTGTGGAAATCGCTAGAAGAACGCTTGAGCGATGGGAAACGCAGCAACCAACAAGAGGCATGTACCTCGCCTGGGGCCGGATTTTTTCGCGCCGTCAACGACAAGAACATCGACGGCGCCATGGCCTACATTGCCAGCGAAACTGAAAGCACCGGAGTCGATTTCTACTTCGAAGACACAGATTTTCCCAGCGCATTCGGCAGCCCGCAAGAACTGGAGCGAGTTCTGCGGCTCCAATCGGAAATTGGAAATGCCCCAATCGTAGTGATCGATGAAGATATCTATGACGCAAGTGCCCGAAAGTCTGGAGTCGCTTTTCACCTCGAGGACCCACAAAAACAAATTAATACGAAGGGAGCAGCTTTTTTCGAGCTGAACGACGACGGGTTGATCCGCAAGGCATTCATTGTCAAGGAAAACGACAAATCGGGAGAGTCTAGCCTAAAAATCCTGAAGCTTGCCTCCGACGTGATCGCTGCCACAAAAGAAGGCCAGGGGGGATCTTCCTCTGATTCGGTTCCGGTGCCGACACTAGCCAACCCATCGGCGTCGGTGTCCCTTCCCGAGCAGTACTTTGCTGCATGGAACCAGAGAGACATGAAGCAAGCAGTCTCGGTATTTGCGCAGGACATTGAGTACGATGATACCGCCTTTCCGGCACCCTTTTCGGGGAAAGAGGCCCTAGAAAATCACCTAGACCTTTGCGCCGAAGCTATGCCTCCATCGTTTTCCTTTATCGTGGACGACAAAATCGATGCCGGGAACAAGGTGATGGTCCGCTGGCACGTAGAAAGCAATGCCGAGGAGCTCCCGTACACTCGGGGGTGCTCACACTACAGGATCGAGAACGAATTGATAGCGAGTGGGACAGATCTCAAGGAGCCGGCGGTCTTCAAAACCGGCGGTCTGATGCTTTTCATTGATTCCTTCTCATCGAAGTTGAGGGACGAACCCATCCGCATGGTTCCAACCCTGGTCTGGGCCACGTACATGTACGTCGTGTTTTTCTCGGACTGGTTCTACGGGCTGCCCGCCACATCCCTGGAGGTTCGGACCTGGGAGGAAGTCAGAGACCTCTCGCTGAACTTTTTCCTCGTCAGCCCCATCCTCGACCTTCCGTTCGCACCGGTAGTTCACCCCGGGCTGGAGGGGATTTTCAACCTTCTGCTCTCCTGGGCAGCAATGTTTGCCGGGTTTCTGAGCGACGACCGAAAAAGCAAGCCTAACCTGTTTCCGATGCTTCCGGCCGTTGCCGGGATGCAGTTCCTGACGTCCGCCTTTTTGCTGCCCTACCTCGCAACGCGGTCGGTGGAAGACAATGGGACCGAATCGGTGGCTATTCCAGCGGAAGAAATCACACCTGTGATCAAGGCGACCGACAGCAAAATTCTGGGCCTGGCGATGGGATTGGTTGGCACGGGATCCATTGCCTGGGGACTGTTTGCTAGGTTCGACGACTTTGGCGACATTTCCACGCGCTACGCAAGTCTGATCGACCTCCTAAGCATCGATCGGGTGGGATCGAGTTTTCTGGTGGACCTGGCCATCTTTGGCCTCTTCCAGGGCTGGCTCGTAGAGGACGACGCTAAGCGACGTGGAATGGATCCCGATTCGCTGCTGGCCAAAGCCGCCAAGTATGTTCCGTTTTTTGGCCTCGTCTCGTATCTGACGCTTCGCCCCGGGCTTGTAGCAGCCGAGGAACAAAGATAGGCAGGCATTGTTCATAATAATAGACCAGTATTACATTGACAAACAGTATGAAACTTGTGTACTAATTTTACTAGTACGGATACAAACAAAAAGTCGGCGCGTGGCAGCGAGAACAATCGATGCAATCGATGAATCTCAAAAATCTGCGTTTATCACCAGAAGCATAGGAATCTGGCTTACACCTCCCAGTCTGGCCGCTGGTCACCGGTAATGTCGTCACCGTATTGGTCGAGAAAGGACGACCGCGTTTCCTCCTCGAGAAGTGGCGGCATCCAGGCATGACCCCATCGGTTTCCGTCCTCGTCTTCGTCTGAGTCGAGCGCGACGTGTGCCCCGACCGTTCCACCCCTTGCGATCGAAGAGAGTGCATCCCGGAGGCCATAATAGGCTTCCTTCCGACCGTAGCTTTCGTCGAACACGAGGGGCTCGTCCTCGGAATAAAACTGCGTTACCCACGTGTGTCGGTCGGTGAAGCCCCACAGCCACAGTCCGTCAAAGGCGGGCTCCGTCAGCGCGGCCGCTATGATATCGTGATAGATCTGTCTCTGGGCGATCTGGCGCAACTCCGGGGCCAGCTTGCTGACCCGGACGTCCATCTCAGATATGTTTACTTTCAGGCCGAGTTTTCCGAGTCGGTGGATCTGGTTCTTCACCATGCGCGGCGTAGGCACACGGTTGCGGCCGGTTCCAGCGGCATTGAAGTGCGCCTGGATTCCGCAGCCGTGCACGGGGACGCCCTTTTTCACCAGGCCGGCCAGCAGGCGGTAGAAACCATCGGCCTTTTGCTTGTTCGGGCCGTTCATCCCCTCTACCTTGTTGTCGTTGTAAAGCAACACAGCGTCTGGGTCCGCCTCATGGGCCCATCGAAAGCATTCCTCTATGTATCCCGGACCGAGCTTTCGAAAAAAGACGTTTTCTGCCAAACTCCCTAAAAATGTCAAGCAAGCTATAGAAATGAGGTCACTGTATTTTCAATTGAAAGTATCAATTCCGCATCGTTTGTACGTATCGTTTGTACGCATCGTATTGGACTTCTTGTAGCCGATTCCATACAGGATTAGAGTGCAACTTGACGTTACGTACCGTCTGGGGCCAACGCTTCGTTGACAACGTCCCACACCCGAATGCGGCCTCTGAAATGTCCCATGGTAGTAAAAATATGCCTCCGCAGTTGTTCTCGGACTTCCTCCGGTTCCAAATCTTCCAACAGCTGTGGCCTGTGGGGTGTGGGATCGATCGAACGAATGCAGGCGAAAAAGGAAAGAAACAAGAGAGATGAGCTGCGTACATTTTATCACATTCTTTTCCCAGAAGCAAACCAGGTGATCGCCATGCATTGTTTGTCTGCCCAAAACGAAAAGAATTCCATTACGTTGCAAGCATTGCACTGCATTGAGTTGCGATACGATGCAAGGATTGCACTGCATTGCAATACTCACGATGTGACGTGCCACACAAGCACGTGCCCCTTGACCACCATGTTGTACCGGATCCCCCAGTCCACAATAGCATCGGCGTGGTGGAAATCGTACCGGCCAAGCCGGGTTGACAAACTCCCGTCAACAAACGGCCCCGGCTCGGACACGCACATCGGGGCCCACTTGAGGTGGTGCTCGACGACCAGGGCGTTGAATTCCGACCGGAGCGTCCGCGCGTAGAGCGTCGAGGACGAAGTCGCGTGCAACTCGTCGGGGGCCCTCCCCTCGCGGTTGCTGTCCCTGTGTGAATTTCTGCCGCTGCTTGTTTCGCCGCCCAGCAACTCGTACCCTTCCGACCCGGGACCGCTGTCCGCTTGGTCCGTGTCCGAACAAAACAGGGGCTCGGGGAGCACGGCGGTACCGATATCGATTCGTTTGATGGCGGTGGCCACGACTTCCCTAAGAGAATCTCCGTCGATCCCGTCCTCGTACATTTTTCGTTGCTTCGTTGGTATGTCCTTCTTTCGTTTCGGAAGCGAGGAAACCGAACGGATGCTGGTTTGTGCTCGAGCTTCAGAGAAACCTTTGGGCAAGCCTCTTGCAATCGTACCAGTACATACGAGTGCCTGGTACCATGCCGCTGCTTTGACACAACAGGAACGATGGAGAGACACGATTGAAGCCGTCTCACATGACCGAATCCCACCATCAGGAACCATGTCGATTTCGATGTTTTTCGAAAAATTTAAATTCTCCGGTCCCCTTTTTTCCATTATGTGATCGGTTTTGATCACAAAAAAATGTGATCAGAAATGATCACAAAATTGATGAATTTCTTGATCACAATTTTTTGTGATCAGTTTTGATCACATTTTTTCCAACGGATTAGAATTAATATGTACTTTTATTCTTACATTAATATTTATATTCGATTTATATGATATATATATATATAATATATATATATATATATATATATTTATATATACTAAGTCATTGATGGTCATATTAGTAGCACGTCGCTTTAATTCTTAATAGGGCTTATTACTATGTTGGTAATACAGGACTGGTGT